CGGGGGCTGAGTCCCTCCCCCGTGGTCCCTCCCCCCAACCAGGGGGAGCCTAGTGACCCCCGTCCCGTCCCCAAGGGGTCACCCCCAATTACCTTCCCGGCCCCCCCCCCGGGACTGTGCCTCGGTGTGAACCTCCTGGGGGTAGCCCTCGAGCCCCTCCCTCCCCCTTACAGAAACAGCAGCGATTCCCCTCTGGCATCTCGCCCCCAGGTCCCTCTCCCGGGCGTCCCATTCCCCCCTGAACCCCCCACCCCCCAAGGAAAACTGCGTTAGACTTAGGGAGGGTAGAAACTCCCCCTGAGGGGCACAGCCGCCTTTTTCCTCCCTTGTCCTCCCACCCCACCGACAGGGCTAAACTCAGGGGGACAGACCCCACCAAAGCTCTCTTCCCGAGAAGAAAGTAGCCTCTCCCACTGAAGCTCCTGCAGGGAAGGCAGGCCTTCAAGTTCTTGCCTTTGAAAGCTTGCACACTAACCGCCTAGCTCCCACCCACCCCCCAGAGGATCAGGATGTCGGAGAACCAGCCCAATGCGAACAATCACCATCACCCCGTGAACAACAACGGGGGTGGTGGGGCTGCCGGCGGAAACAACCGGGGGGTACGGAACCCCAACCTCAACCAGAACCCCCTGATTAATGTGCGCGATCGCCTCTTCCATGCCCTCTTCTTCAAGATGGCTGTAACCTATGCCCGCCTCTTCCCACCCTCGTTCCGCCGCATCTTCGAGTTCTTCGTCCTTCTCAAGGTGAGGGGCAGGGCTACTTATGTATAAAGTGGAGGGACTTTCTCCATCCATTTTTCATCCCCGAGTGCAGTTCAATCAAGTTGCTTCCAAACAATTCTTACCCCCCCAGGAAAGATTTGCTGCTACCCTAGGATCAGTCACCGAACTCCACCTATACTAGCCAGAGATACTGTCCCACTAGGCAGGTGTATTTTTCTATTCATTAGGAAGGGATGAACCATTGTGATCGTTATTATACACTGCAGCTGGGAGCATGCTTTCGAGTCTTGGTAGAGAAATGCGCTAGCTCTGCTCAAGCTAGGCACCGTGGTGTGTCTGTTGCATCGTAGGCCATGGCATAGGTTAGCCACCCAAATACAAACCCGGCCAACCCTTTAGGTCTGAACTCAGGTGGTTAGTCCCTGTGCTGCAGTGTCCACACTACTATTTTTAGCATGCTAGCTAGAGTGGCGTTAGTGTGAGTCTGCCTACCTGGGCTCAGAGGCTCGCTTCGAGCTGCAGTATGTGTGCCCTTTGGGTCCCTTTAATAAATTGAATGGCTTGTTAGGACATTTTCCTGTATTCTTACATTCATAGAATCATGGCAGTTAGAAATGGAGAAGTCCTGTAGATTCAGTCTGCTTCCCTGCTGATGCAGCATTGTCTCTTACAGTCTGTGCTTCTGTGCTTTGTTTTAGTTTTTAATGACTCGACAACAGTGGCTGCCAACATTCCCCAGGAGAGTTACTGGCTTATCTGTCACATTCTAACCTCATGTATGAGGAAAAGGAGTAACTCAACAAATCTCGGACTAAATAGTCTCTCTCCCCAAATGCCTCCATATTTCTCTCTCTGGGCAAAAGCTTGTGTGAATAGATTATAAAACCTTATATTGGTTTGGGAGTCTTTCCTTGTGCTGCTGAGGTTCTATTGTGTCCTCTTGTTAAAAGTTCCTAGATTTAAACTTTCGACTTATTCTAGCAAAGTGGTTTATTGAAGCCAGAGGGATGGGAAACACTGTCTTATTGTTTTGTCAAAGTTAAATCTGGAAGGAATATTCCTGGATGTGTACACATGTTTCCCCCTCCCTCCCCCCCAACTATCTCAAAATTGGATAGTGCGTCTCATTGAGCTCCACAGTACAGGATACAGATTGGGGTGGGGGGGGGCGGCATCTTTGGTCTGTGAAGAACTCTGAGCAATGGTGCACTGGATAGCCTCTGTGCTTGGTAGTGGGGTAGTAAATCTAGGTCACTGGTTGTAGTCCATCCTAGATTGGTAGGCTAACATGTACCACCGTCTGATGGTTGTTTGGCCAATGTGAAATGATTTGGTGTTTTCAACCTGGTTTCTGGAAAGACAGTTGTGGATAGAAATAGGTGTTGTCCACATTAGGAAAAGGTGAGGAGAGTTTATCATGTGTTAGAAAACACTGCTTACCTCAGCCTGCTAAGTGTGAAAACTACAAACTACTTTGTCCTCTTGTCTGCACTTTTTGGTACCTCTATGCAACCACAGCTGGTATTGATTGGTCTCCCTTGTGGGCCGTCTCTGCAGAGAGACCACAGTTTAAATAGGCCATGGCATAGAGGCTGATCTCCTCTCACTCCTCGAAGTTGCAGATCGGAAATGAGGCACGTTAGTGAGATCTGGGTAGGGATGTGCTGTTACTGTCTACGCTCGTGTTTTTCACCAGTACTAAATATAAAAAATTTCACAAAAAATGATTAGTTTCTAAGAGACAGCAATGTGCTTACATTATAGTAGCATTAGTCACTTTAAAAAGAAGGAAACAAATAGGACAGTATTGTCAAGTATAAAACAATGCCTATTTCATCATGACAGAATGACCTTAATATGCTAATAGTAGCCTTTCACTCAGCATCTTTAGTTGTTGTTCTTGGAAATGGCCAGGCTTTTTAACTTTTCCTTTTCTAGAACTAACTGAAGGCATGCTTAAAAACTTGAAATGGGATGGGACCACCAGACTACATTGAATGAGTTGTAGCCAAGCGAATAGTGTCTGTTGCAGAGCTCTGGGTAGCATACATGTGCAGAACAACCTACTTTTATCTTAGGAGTGAGTTTAAATAGAAGTCTTAAGTTGTCAGGTAGAAAACAGGGACTCTGGGACAAGTGGCATACATCAGAGTGCTTTAACTAATTGACCAGATTTCAAGCAGATGTTCTTTTAAGTAGGGACATAGTGTGATGCTGGCTGTCTCTAGTGCTAAACAGTCTAGGTATAGATCTAAGGCATGATCCTGCCATTTATCGTGTAGGGGTGAATTCCTGTACAGAGCTCCTTCAATTGTCGAGATTTACATGCTTGTATAGAGTTGCAGAACCAGTGTCTAGGTGAGCTTTGGTATGTATTAACTTCTGCCTTATCTATTGGTCCCTTGTAGCTGAAGATGTCTTCGTACAGCTCAGCTTCTTAATCAAATCTGCGGTGTAGCTGCCTAGCTTTGCCAGTCTGTTTACTCCTGCTGAGGAGGTCAGGGATAATGAGTAACTAGAATTAGTTGTGTTACACAATGATCAGGCACTTTAAGGAGGTTGGAGACCGAACAACCCCTAAAACTCAGCCATGGTGCTGTATTCTAGATGCTCGCTGTTCTTGGTGGAGAACTGCACTTCAAGCTATTGAATGTATTTGTTAACATCACCCTGGATTGTTCCCCAAAATAAGGTGGTAAAACCCATTGGTCTGTAGTGATATCACTTTCTTCTGCTAAGTATCGGGGTAGCCGTATCCATAAAAACTACGAGGAGTCCGGTGGCACCTTAAAGACTAACAGATTTATTTGGGCATAAGCTTTCATGGGTAAAAAACCAACTTCTTCAGATGCACCTAAAAAAGTGGGTTTTTTACCCATGAAAGCTTATGCCCAAATAAATCTGTTAGTCTTTAAGGTGCCAGCGGACTCCTAGTTGTTTCTTGTTAATTAATACTGACATTAGTCCCCTTGAATGAAAACTGAAACCCTCTATAGTTTTCAATATAATGTATATCACTGAAAAGTACCCTATTGAGAAATGGTAGTTTAGTATTCCTAATCTACAGTGAACATGCTGGGAATAAGAGGAATTTTAGACTGGAGAACTTCTTGCGTCTGTGCTGCATAACAGGGTGTTCAAAGTGCATGGCATTCATATTCATATTTGGGACCCTGGATCATTTTAGGATCTAGCTTAGGGATACTGTCTCACAAATCAAGAGCTGAGATCCTTTCTGCTGCTAGCTGTCAAAGGTGTTCGGGGGGTGAAAGATTCTGCCTGGGAATCATGGAGGACAGGAGCCATGTTTTCTGTTAAGTTGAAAAACTGATTACTGCAGGTTGTAGAATATCCAGGGAGATTGCTCGCTGCGCTCATTTGCATGTCAGCCCCAAGAACGCTGCTTCGATTAATTTTCAATCCCTTTATTGCCACATTATGATGTCGAAGCTCATGCAGAACGTTGAGGTTCTGAATATAGGGCTGGTGACGTGGTAGTAGCAGGGTTTAATGCTATTGCTCTCCCTTTCTGATTTGGTGAGAGGTTGCCTGTCTCGAGGCTATTTGTGCCTCTTATGCCTCATAAAGTTATGCAGTCTTTCTTGTGCTTTTAATGGGAAGTATTTGTTATTCCTAATAGTTTGGGGAAGTATTTTGTATGGTGAAGAGAAAAATTGTCTGTTTCAGTTTCTCCTCCGTCAAAATGATTGAGTTAGGCCTCTTTTGGCTTTCCAGCATGGCTTAGGTCTTTCAGTCTGATGGCCGACTGCTGAATTTGGTAAGAGTTCGCCTGTGGTTTGGGCATTTGATCTGTAGAGTTAGTGTGCAGGGATTCATAGAAATGTAGCTTGTCTATTTTGTTCTATGCTTTCCAGCAGGACGCCCATTGTGCTTCACACCAATGCTGGTGTCTGAGCTCTGGGCACAAACTGAAAGGTTTGAGCAGGTCTTGTGGCTGGATGAAGTTGTGTGTGCTTTTTTTGATGTTTTTTTCCTCTCGCTATTAGTTATCTTTGTGCCCAGAGGCCCCAGTTGGGATTGGGTCCCCATCATGCGGGGTGGAGACAACCCCTGTTCTGGAGAGTTCAGTCTTATTCTTGATTGGAAGGAGACATTACTAAATCTGATGCTAGTTCCTACCTGATTGAACAGAGACTGGGGCCTAGTCTGCACTTAAAATTTAAGTTGGCGTACTACTTGTGTAAAATCCACACCCCTGCACAACATAGCTATTGTGATTTAACTTTCAGTATAGACATAGCTAAGTCAGTGGAAGATGCTTCTGTTTACCTATCTCCTGTCACTCGGGGAGGTGGTGTTTCTACACTTAACTGAAAAAACCCTGTCATAGTGTAGATACAGTCTACACCGACGGGGTTATGCCAGCATAGTTATGGCTTTGTGGTTATGCTGGTATGGTCCACGCAGCGCGGACGTAGCCTGCATGTAGGCATCTCTTGACTTTTTCTAACCTTCCTACCTGAGCTCAAGTTGCCTTTCCTGTTTGGTCAGTTAACCTTGTAACAAATCAAAGGAATGCTTGTTTTAAGTGAACTTTGCCAGCATAGATCTCCGGTTACTAAAGACAGTATATTGGCTTTTTAAAATAGAGAGAATTCAGTGGAAAGAAAACTGCAAATGATCTGGAAATACTGTCTCTAAAGCTAAAGTGTACCATTTGTCATCTCACTTAGCAGGTCTTGTATAAATGAAACCAATAGGTTCAGCCGCCTTTAAAGAAAGATCATTAAGGCCTTGTCTATGCTGAGATCTGCAACCATGCTCTAACTACTCAAGAGGGCCACTTGTTTTAAACATGACTCTAGAAAGGTTTGGAGCGGGTTGTAAAATCTCTGTGTAAACAAGACTAAAGTGGCCCCAACTTTCCCCTTAATTTTGGTTTCCTTCAACAGTGGACATGTAGGATTAGAGAGACTGTCTTTCATTATCCATGCAGTGAATTCGCCCAGTAGCTAGTGGCCTAGGTGAATGAAGTTCAGGAAGAATCTGGTTAAGATAGAGAAGGTAAGGTCTGGGGCAATCCTGCCTTTTCATATAGATCTTATATGGGGCTAAAAAAACCTCTGCCTGAAAACCCCAACACGCAGTCCTCATGACACCATTGCTGTTGTCAAAGGCTGAAATGAGATCCCGTGACACGTTTGCTAATGCTATCACTGATGTTATAGGACATAAGGAATATGCAGCCAGCATTTTGGGCCAATTCCTGGTCCCATTGAAGTCCATAGGAGCAGGATTTGTGCCTTGATGCATATGGGTAGAGTCTGCCAACACATGGGAAATTTTAAGAAGTTTCTGGTTATTTTTAAAATTAACATTTTACAATTTCAAGTTTTATATAAACCAGTGCACAGATACAGATATACTTGTTTTATCTGGCCAACAGTCAAAACAATTGCTTATGAAACCTACTTTCCTACCTAATGCCAACCGTAAGGGTTTTATTTAAAAACAAAGAGACAGGCAAGAAACAATATTCAGGTTCAGAAACCTCAAGGCAATTTGTACAAAGATCTGAAATATGACATTTCATAATTCATTTAAATATACATTTTGTGTGTGTGTGTATATATGTATATATACACACACACATATTGTGAAAACTTCATCATACAATTCTTGCACTTAAACGGCAAAAAAAAGGACACATTCTCTCCTAGATATAATGTTCCATGATCCAATAACTAGCTGCTCATGGGTGAAATTTCTTCCTAACTCCGAGAGAGACCGGGTGAATGAGGTTAATATCTTCTATTGTACCAACTTATGTTGGTGAAAGAGACATGCCTCTGAGTTCCACAGAGCTCTTCCTTAGGTCATATCCTGGGACCAGCACGGCTACAACTCTGCAAACAATGAAAGATTCATAACTCTGGGCTGTTGGTGGTTGGCTTATATCCTATAAAATAAGGGTTGAGGTACCTTTATACATTTTTTACTCTAACTAGCGCCATATATGAGAGAGCCTCTAACCAGTGTAACTGCAGATCTGTTTCTTATCCACATAAATATCTGTTCTTTTGGGGGTCTCACTGTGCTTTTTGCCTCTATCTTGAATTGTCTCAGAAAGTTGCTTAAATCATCTATTCCTCCTCCTTCCTTTGCCCCCCCTCCCATTTAGCCCTCTAATGATGATCTACGGTCATAGGAGGGAATCTTCTGTTCCCCCTTGTTAATGGCTTGTAAGAGTGTATCAGTACCTAGCCCCAAGACCACTCCTTGTTTCCTCCCAATGCTTTGAGTTGCAGTTAGAATAGTGGGAGAACTTTCCTGGAAGGTGGGGGAGGGGGGTGTATGTTTAGTGCCTCTTCTGGACACCTCCTCTCCTTTTCTTTGCATCAGCTGTAGAAGGATAGTCAAAGTGAATCTGTCAGTCTCTCCTCAGTTGGCCTGTGTTTTGGAGCTGTAGGGACCTTAAAAAGGGAACAAACAACAAAAATATGACCATCAGATGATGTTTACAAAGAAATAGTAAAGGTTTCTAGCTGCAGGCTTCTTCCTCAGCCCTTGTTGGTTTGAAATTCGTAGCGCTCCTTCTCAAATCCTGCTTCCTTCACCTCTGGTGATATCAGATGGCAGGGGGGCAGTGGGAGGAACTGCAGCAGCTGGGGCTGTGGGGAGCCAGATTAAAATGAAACTCTCTTTAAACTGGCAGTTTTCCTGTAATGAATACAACACTCGCACCTTTCATGTCCAGGGAATGTCCCCAATTGGAGCATGTTTTTCCGGTGTAGTAGCTGTTTTGTGTTACCTGCTTTAATTTGGTACCAGCTCCCTGTTGACAGTCTTGGTGGCACCAAAATACAATCTAAAGGGGTTGGGTACTTTTTTTATTTTTTACTTTCGACTGTGTGTTAAATCCACAGAGGAAGTGCCCAGGGGATAGACTCAGCATTGTTTGCCTTGTGCCCTCCCTGGAGAAGGTGATCCCATGGTGCAGAATTGCTGTTCAATATTGGGAAGGAACAAGGAACAGCCTTGGGGCTGGGTGTAGATGCGTTTATAGGTATTTTAAAGCTGGATCAGAAATTAGATCTCATGGTTGCCGAGAAACGCTTGGAAATATATACTGATTTGCACCTTACAGGCTCAAAGCCCAGAAGGCAAATAAGAACTCCACATATATTTTAACATCATGATTTTGGGGCAGGTCTGACTCATGATTTTTGAGTACTTTTTGTCTTGGCAATAATGGGTACTGACTGATCTAGACATCAAATAATCTAGATACTTCTACTGTTGAGGCTTTTTTAGCTCCCTTACAATAAAAGCACACAGCTGAACAGCAAGCTAAGGAATTAACACCACATTTAAACAGCAGCCAAGCACCAAAGATAGTCTATCCCAGGAATCCTGAATACAAACCTTAGGCGCGTTCTGCATATGTAAGATACAGTAGGGGAGTTCTACCAAGCCAGAAATCAGAGACAGGCTAGTTGTATCTGGGAAGGTTTGTGTAGTCTGATACCTGTACTTGGTTCGCCGTCATGTTCTTACAGGATTTGATTGATCCTGGGATACCATCCCCATTCCTTTCATTACATTGTGTGGGGTAATGAAAATATGCAGTGCTTAGCACTCATCAAAGATGGTTTCTTAGTGAAACATATACCCGTAGCCCAATATATTCACCCTGGTAAATTCTGGGACTTTGCTGTTAATGGATCATTATTAGATTAAAAATTGTAATTTAAAAAAATGTCCTTATGCTCTTGTCAAAGCCCTAGTTTATTAAGGTTAAAAGTATCTTTAAAAAAAATTAGCTTACTTTTTCACTGTTTGAGCTCCATTCAGCATGGGGCATGAAAACAGGCTGGTCAATTTCACTATCTAGTTATCGTTCACTAGTACAATTCTGCAGTGTTTTCTACAGGTAGAAAGGAAATGATTTTAAATTCAAACTCTGTCCTTGGAAACTTAAAAAAAAAAATCACAAGAACTAACAGAAAAGTTTAATGAAAGTTTTAGGTCTTATTTCAAAGACTCTGTCCCTTTAAAACATTTCCGGTGACTGTCTCATGACTTGTGATATCTCCTGAGCAAAGGTTGTATGTTGGCACTAACCTAAGCAAGGACCTTGTCAATATTAAACTGAATTCTAGAGGCTTGGGAATAAATACATGAGAATTAATTACTAGAGTTACACTTTCTGGAACATTCTGGCCCAGTGGATTCATAAGTATATTCCTCCACTGGAAACCAGTTTCTGGGTCAGAGTGGAAAGTCTAGTAAGGGATGGCTTGTTTGCCAACAAACAAGCATTTGAAAATAGCACAAGAGAGTGGGGTGAGGAGAGCCAAAGGTAAATGGGTGGTAGGTTACTTTTGGGGAAAACCAGGAAGTTAAACTTTGTGCTTCCCAGAGGTATCCAGGACAGTTTCTTTCTCTGAAACAGACCTCTGCTGCCATATTAGATGGCTATTACAACCCACTATCTGGTAGCCATTATTGCCAACTCAGTTGCTAGTAGAACTGATATTGTGCCTCCTAGTCAGAAAAGACTGGGCGCCTGATTCTCTACTGCCCTGCCCCTTTGTGCAAGCATTTACACCAGTGCAAAATGAATGTAAAATGCTAATATTTTGGGTCAGAATCTGGCCCTGGTTTTGTAACATTTTAGATCCCTGTAGCATGTGAACAAACCCAAACAATATACATACAAGGCTGCTGAAATGCAGCTGCTTCTGGGGTGGCAGCCATGCAGCATACAGCACATGGTGCAACAAGTGTGTCAATGAGGAAGCTTTGGTCAGTGACACCAGGCCCAACTTCTACTCCTGTGAAAGGTATAATGGAGCCTCCACCCACAGCAGACAGGCCTCAGCTTTACAAGGTGTGACGAGAAAGGTTGATGCAGGTTCGTGGCAAAATACTCCCTGGATCGGCCTTGCCCAGCTGACGAGATGAACTGGTTCCAGGAACTTTAGCTGTTAATATTTTGATGCTTAGACTGTCGAGACTGGGAAGCTTCAAAGATCTTGGCTATTTCTGTGTCTGTTGGCCCAAACACATCCAAGTAGCTTACTGGCTAGCAAGAAACATCTATAAAGCATGTGAGTTTGTAAAAGTAGCAAATTTAAAAGGAGCCAACTTGTACTCATGATCTCTCCCTTGTTTCCTGCTATTTCAGGCTCTCTTTGTGCTGTTCATCCTGGCTTACATTCACATCGCCTTCTCCCGGTCGCCCATTAACTGCCTGGAACACGTGCGGGACAAGTGGCCGCGCGATGGCATCCTGCGGGTGGAAATACAACGCAACTCCAGCCGAGCCCCCATCTTCCTGCAGTTCTGCGAGGTGGAGAAATTCCCGGGAATGGTGATTGAGTCTGTGCATGAGGAGGAGGAGGAGGAAGAGGAGGAAATGACCGTGGAAATGTTTGAAAACAGCTCTGTCAAGGTAAAGGTTAGCCATGTGCTCCCTGGGAAAGAGTTGGGGATGTTTTGTTCCCATGCTCCCTGCAAGAACTTTACAGATTGGCTTGGTGCCAGTGAAATATTCCTATGCCCCACCCTTGTCATACCCCCCTCATCACTTAAATTGAAAAAGCACCTCTGACCTCTCCAAATGCCACCTCAAGCAGAAACTTGTGTGACTAGAGTGGCCGGTAAATTCCATCTCCATTGACCCAGTCGGAGATGTGATTTCTAGAGCTGAAGGCCCATCGTGGAAAATGCCCTGCGCCAGCCCTTTCCCATTCAGCACATCTGTTGCATCACTTCTTTTGCAAGCTCTGAAAAGTGCATTTTCTGCCTCTCCTTGGATCCCCCCTCACCACCAAGTGATGTGCACATCTGTTTGCGATAAGTGCTGTCCTCTTCCAGCACATCATGTATGTGTGAGGGTAATGTGATCTTCCCAAACTCAGACCAATAAAGTCTTTATCCCATGTCCTCATGTATTCCCCCTGTGTCATATATTACCGAGAAACTATTTTTAGGTATGTTTTAGAGGTTTTTAAATCACTGTATTGGGATTATTTCTTGTATCTCCCTGACTGTAAAGCCTGGTGATGTTAGATGCCATGAGTAGGGCCCAGAAGGGGAAAGAAATTAAAACAAACAAATGGAAAATACCACCTGCAAAATAGCCTTTCTGTACCTAAAAATGCCTCTGCTTTAAAGTCTGAAACCATGGTCCCTTTCAGAGCTAGAGAGGAGTGCTGAGTCCCATGGTCTTGTAACTGGGCAGTGGGTCTTTGGGCCCTTAAACCAGAGAGCTGTATGTAGGTCATATGCCCGTTTCTAGTCGTGTGTCCAAGGGGAACTTGCATACTCAGGCAGGGGACCAGAGAGGAGATACTCAGGGTCAGGGAAAGGGCTCTCTGCCGCTGTCTGGCAGAAGTCCTGAGAGGAAGACACCTTCAGGAGCTGGTTGTGGGGAAGCCTCAACAGGGAGACTTGGAAGAAAAGAGCTAAACGGCTGTAGGGCAGTGAGACAGGTTTGGGTGGTGGCAACTTGCTCTGAATCTTTGTTAATAAAGAGAGCCCTGTGAAGAGAACTGGAGCTGTGCCTTTGTTTGCGAGATGACTTCCCCTTCCCCAGCTGATGGATCAGCTTGCGTGTCCCCTTTCCTGTGGTAGAAAGCTGTTTTTTTTTTTTAGTCTGCTGGGCTACAACATACCAGACTGAAAAGCTGTGACATTTTTAGGCACAGAAAAGCTGCTATTCGCCCAGGACTGAATCTTGGCCTTTCCAGGCTAGGGCTAGCTTTGTGGGGGGGAAATCAACACATAAAGGGATGGGAGAGAAATATTCCCTCTGGTGGGTTCAGATAAACATATGGAAGCTGTTTGAAGCTCCAAAGGGATTTGGAGTGTTAAAATAAAACTTGGGGTGGTGGATTATGGTGATGCAGCCATAGGTATATAGATAAATTCAATGTACCTGTGCAGTTCGTGGCATTTCTCCAGTTAGCAGTTGGCTATCACCTCCACATAGCTGGCTCACATACAGGAATGCTAGAAACTAAATACAGTCTCTGTAACTTCACTCCCCTTACCCTCCTGGCTTTTAAAATCTTTAATCTGTGGGGCCCTTCATTTTGGGATCTCCTAGTCTGCTGTTCTGGTTTACTGGTGCAGCCACCTCAGGTTCAGAAATGTGATAAACAATGATTTTGTGCTGCCCTATCAACGTCTTGGCAGTTTGTTTGTCTGTGATCGAGTAGGCTGTTAACATTATGCAGCTCGTTCTGTCCTTGAAGTCTACTGGGACTCTGTCGCGTGTAAGAGGGTAATTACCCTGAACACGCCAGGCTGGTGGTGTCCCACAAGAACCCCGCGTCCAGCTCCAACAGCATTTCTCTCCATGCTTCCACCATTTTTTGTCAGTCCAAAGCTCTGTTTGTTTTAAGATGTGACTATGAATGCTTGCAAAGGTTGGGTTTTGTGTCTCTCTTTCCTCCTGGACTAGATGACCTCCTGAGGTCCCTTCCAACCCTGATATTCTATGATTGATTCAGTGTTTGACTCGTTAACTGGATGGTGGAGAGGCTTGGAAGCCCAGAATCGAAATGTGCACTAATGCTACTTTCATTCCAATGGTTTTTCAACAGTTTGAGCTGGACATCGAGCCCAAGGTGTTTCTCAAGCCACCCCGGGCGAGCAGCACTGAGGCACTGACCCAGGTGACCCAGAACGAAAGCCAGGAGTTCTCATTTAGCGAGGCGACCACTAAAGGTATGCAGCCTCTGAGTGAGACGGTGTCCGAGTTTGAGATGCTAGCCAGAGCAGGTAAAGACAACTTACACTGGTATCCATGTTCCCTCCTCCCCTTTCACCTGTATATCCTCCCTTTCACTCCTCTTGGCGTCTCGGGGCACTTGCATAATAACCTTTCCAGATGTCCCCCTTGCCTTCGAATGATGTGAAATTGACAAAGACTGACTTTGGTTCTGCAGAACTTTGCTCTTTGGCTGGAGGGCTGGGGAGGGAGCAGGCTTGTGTTGTGAAGTCTGCTGAAGTCTCTTGTTGCCAGTGATATCTGGATTGTTATGCGGATCCTCAAACTGTGGCAGGCCACACTGATAAAGCATCACAAGAATGTTTATACTAGAACAAACTGTTTGGTCTGGTATCATGTCTTTGACAGTGGCCAATGCCAGATGGGCCAAAAGAAGATGAACCAACCTCCCCTTCATCTTTTCCCCCATAATTCACCTGAGCAACTGTGTTGTCTTTTTATCCTCGAGGGGAGATGCAAGAAAGTCCCGAGAGGGGTGGGGGGGTGGAATCAGTAAATCCAATTTATAATACATATTCGTAATAGTACTAGTAGGGATTTTCTGATCCTTTGTCCAGGAATAGCTAACTACTCCTGAAAGCATTTGTACTGATCGACTGATCTTAACCCGGGCAGATTGCGAGATACGGAGATGCTAGAATCACATCATTCAGAATACCATCTTGCTTTTATCTTCCCTACTTCAATTGCAACGTGATTTTAGCAGCTAATATTGTACACCCTTTAGAAAGAGACCATGGGTTTTTAATCCCTTAAACTGCGATTCACGGCATATGCTTTGGTTTCTGTCTGTACTAGATAGCTGTTAAAATCACATATGGGTTGAAGTAGGATCATGATAAATGGAATGACTTAATAGCGAATCTTGTTTACTGAAACGGATGTTTTATTTCACCGGAAAACTGGGATTCTTTGCTTTCCAGCAGTCTAAACCATTATTTCTAGCTATGAAGGATTATGAGTGCTAACATTAAAATGTTCACTGTTCCCTTGATCTTGCAGTATTTATTTGGTGCTGGTCTAGGATTGATTTAGTCCTGAACTTCAGTTGGTGATTGGGGGTCATGACACTGCTTAAGACTTGGGAATGAAATATATATTGTATATATCACAGAGGTGGGTTTTTTTTTGGGGGGGGGGTGTGCAAAACTCCCCCATATTATTTGTAGTGTACACTGAATATGCTCTTCTGCTGAGTTCTCAATCAAAATAGTCTGACAAGAAGAGAGGAGAGAGAAATTAATAGGTGGTGCTGTCCACTTCTTTACAGTGTAATAACCAAGTGCATCTTGTCAAAAAGGTTTGTGGGAATGGAAATAGGACTCATTTCCCTCATCTTCTTACCTTCCCCAATTAAAGGGACACTGTTTAGTTCCCAACTTTTAATCTTTATATAAGATACATTAAAATAAATTGATTTAGATGCTTTCATAATCTAAATGAAAGCAATTCTTGTGAGGGGATTTAAACCCTTTGTCCGTGTTTGCAATTGTGCTACCAGTGAAAACTGAAAAGTAAAACCGACCAGTCTTCTTTCATCACCTACTGGGTGAAATGTAACAAGTGGGAAGCTGCAAATCGATGTTGAAATTTCTCTTACATAATGTGTTGCTAGTAACTCAGGAAAGGAAGTTACATTTCTTATATATGACTTTTAATCTGTGTTCCTTTAAAATATTTTCATTATGGGAAGCCTGACTCTCTTTTGGTCTGCCTTCTTTAGGAAGGAAGAAATACTATGACACCTTTCGGGGGAAAAATCCTCTTTAAATGGATTGGCTGCTCCTTAACAGGATTTTTCTGGTCTTGGGGCTGTCGCAGCAGACAATGTCTACTTCAAACTCCCATTTAAGCAGGCAGTCGTAACAATCATAAAGTAATGTGAAAAGGCTTTTTTTTTAAATCTATTTATTCCTCCTGCCTCTGGTTTTGGCCCTTCTGGAAGCAGCAGCAGTTCCTGTCTCCTGAGACGTTCTAAGTCTAGAGAAGTTAGTTGACTGTGGTTAGAACCAGCAGGTCCGACTGCAGCTGCGAAACCTAGGGAGACTTCAAAGCGCAGGAAAATGTTCAAAACTGTCTTCAAAGTACAATGCATTTAAGCTTTTTTTTTTTTTGGCCTCCAAAATATACATTTATAATTAATTTAACGGAGGCATATGGTGTTGATCTTAAAGCACCGAGTTGGCGTACGCTATTGAGTTGATTCAAGTTTGCAGGAGTTGACGCAATACGATGTGCTAAATTAACCTTTGGGATAAGCAAATGTGGCAGCTATATGTATACCTTGTCCTTCCAAGAAAGCAGAGTAGTTTTGTCCCGTGTGGGGTGTCTACTTACCATTTATTGTAGTCAGAGTGACGGGGGTAGGAGAATATTCTTACCGCATTCCCAAAATGTGTAGAAAATGGAAGTTGCATAAATCTCCACCATAGATTCCTTGGAGAACACACAGGTGTGTCTGTCCATCATTCTTTACACACATGTTGCAGAGTGAAGCGTCAAACCCTGATTACAACCGTGTGGATTGTAGCCTGATTTAGGGTGTACTGATAATATTAATTTGGATAATATGGGAATTTAATGTATTATTTTAATTTATTTATTTTAATTTTATTTAATTATTAATAATAAAATCACTATTATTAATAGCATGGGTTTTAGGCTCACCAATCTGTTTGATCAGAAGATAAAAGTTCTTGTCCCGAATCAGGCTCCACAGAATTTACAAAGGACCCTCGTGGGTATGACAGGAAGCTCACACTAACACAGATATTAATTTTAATAAGTCTGTAATAGTAAGTAAATGGTAAAATACCCAGAATTGCAAAGTTACAATTGAATTACTGCTATTCAAAAGATACATATGATAATATAGTATTATATGCAACAAAGCTTTGGTTAATATACTCACACCCTTCCTTTATAACCTGGTGGTAAGAGACACGGGAACAGCCTTGCAGTTCAGGTTTCTTAATCCTTGAGTGAGGGATGCAGTGCTTAGAAGAAACTAATGCTATGAGCTATGAAAGTGAACGTAGGGTTTACTTGACTAACTTAAACTTAAAATCAAAACCTAATAAAGAATAAAACTTAAGGAAACCAAGCTTAGCCTTGTTCCTTTGAAACTTAAAGTTTAAGAAGAACAAGTATAGCCTACGAATAATAGCAGTTATTATAGATAGAGTGGAGGAAGTAAGTGAGAAATGGAGATGGAGTGAGAATGGAGTACTCTATCGAGGTGGGTAACTTCTTTTATAGGGCAAGTGCCGGAAATTCTTCCTTTTATGCCCAAATTTCATTTCTCACCCACAGAAATGTTAGGGTACACTTATCCCATAGGCTAATATGTATGTGCATATTGATGACAGGTATGTATGTATGCACATCAGTCTCTTGTGGTGTACTTGTTAAGTCGGTGGGTACAACACTGAAAACCCCCCTATGCCATTCTCCATTGTCTATTGGTCTAGATAAAAGGTCATAGACATAGGTGTGGGTACTTATTCATTTAGGTATAGAATAAACGAGATAAAGGTCAACTTTACTTTCTGGGTAAAAGGGCCCAATATAGATATGCCAACTTTGCTTTAGCTTAACGTACTGTTTTTTTGCCTGTAGGTCTCTTGCATTACAGCCAAACGTACTTTAATATAAGTTTATAAACCTATTACAATACATCAAATACCTAGTATGACAAAGTTCCTCCTCTGCCTTGGTGGGTCCTGCGCTTATTGGTGGATTTTCTTGCCTCAGAGGTTCACCATGTGGGTTGGGGAACAGCCCAGAGACCTTCCCCTCTGGAAGAACCCACAGTCCAGGTCAATTGGGAGGTTTGGGGGGAACCTGGGCCCACCCTCTACTCCAGGTTCCAGCCCAGGGCCCTGTGGACTGCAGCTGCATGACAGCTACAACTCCCTGGGCTACTTCCCCATGGCCTCCTCCAAACACCTTCCTTATTCTCACCACAGGACCTTCCTCCTGGTGTCTGATAACGCCTGTGCTCCTTAGTCCTCCAGCAGCACACCCTCTCAGCTCCTCCCACTCGCACCACAAACTGAAGTGAGCTCCTTTTAAAACCCAGGTGCCCTGATTAGCCTGCCTTAATTGATTCTAACAGCTTCTTCTTACTTGGCTCCAGGTGTCCTAATTGGCCTGCCTGCCTTAACTGGTTCTAGCAGGTTCCTGATTACTCTAGTGCAGCCCCTTCTCTGGTCACTCAGGGAACAGACAACTACTCATCCAGTGACCAGTATATTTGCCCTCTACCAGACTCCTGTACCCCACTGGTCTGGGTCTGTCACACTACACTATAAGAAAAGATGTATGCAAGCAAGCAGGTTAGTTCTATAGGCTACACGATTTCCTGTTCCGCTGTGTTCAGATACCTCATGGACTGAGTGGGAAAGGGAAGCAATTTTAACTTGCTTTTTATCACCAGGAGATCAGTTCTCCTGTTCTGCAACCCACACAAACATAACTTCTGGTTTCAGTGCTTATATGATATGCAAAGGTTAATGACTTTCTGCCTGGGACTAATTGTTGGTTAATGTCCAAGTATTGGGGGTGAGGAGTAGAAGATTCCCACCAAAAAGACCCTCGCGTTGTGGTTGTTTGACCAAACTGGTCCAGAGCTGTGTACGTTTCTTTGTATTCATTGATTTAATTGGCCTTCAAAGGGAAGTTCTTCGTAAAGAGATTTAATTTTTGCCAAAAAACATCTTATATGGATTGATGTATTTTTGTTATCTGCTCTTTGGGGGTGTCTCATTTAGCTGTATAACGCAGTATACAGCCACATCCACTTATATTAGCTGCCTGTGAATGCTTGAAACATCCAAGTGATCGGTTTTTGACAAAAATATTCTGTTAAAATAATAAGGCTGTAGCACCTTGCACAAAAAACTTAAACCTGGGCAGCACTTTGCAGGGGCAAACAAATCCATATTTCCTGGCATGAAGCCCTGTTAGGCCCATTGTAATCATGGGTTTATGTTGGCAGTCTGCTAGGAAATCTTCAACAGCTGAAGGGGGCCTGCATCAAGAGGTCATTTGAGGACAGAGTAAGATTGAGAGGCTTCCATTCCTGCAGGCGCAGTGCCAGGAGCACAGGCGTTCTGAAGCCAACCTGTAAATCACAGCAGATGTCTGCCATTGTAAATTGTTCCGCTTCTCACACTAAACACCGATTTGTCCTCTACCAGCAATCCGTTCTGTTCCAGGTCCCCGGCCTCCCCTGGGCCCAGCCTCACTCTTGATAGGAAACCTTCACAACTCTTACCAATCCGTTCTTGAAAACCTTGCTGTCTTATCTGTGGAAGGCAATTCTCTAAGCAGACTTGTTTCTAAATGGGATATCTTTCAAAGCTTTTCCTTAAGGCACTAGTGACTCTTGAGTGGGTAATGCTCATCTGTCACTTTTCTTATGAGAGAATGTGAATAAAAACAGGATCTTTGTTTTTTTTAAGAGTTTGTCTGCTCCTTGTCTGTAGCTGAACTTATGAGCTGGTTGCTTTGGAAACTGAAGTCCTAGAGTATATTGTGATTTTAATAATACTTTGTCTTTCTGTAGTATCTTCAATTCATTGCTCTTAAAGCCCTTGACAGAGATAATCCGATCCAGCCTCACAGCTCCTCTTCCATACGGGTGGTATTATCCTGCCTTCACAAATAGGGTAACAGAGCCCAGAAGTGAAGGTCACAAAACCAAGTCAGCAAAAAGAACGAGGCGTGCTTGTGGCACCTTAACACGGCTACCACTCTGAAACCAAAGCCAAGTCAGTGGCAGAACAGGGATTACCATTTGAGGAATGATTCCTCTTGGATGAGGAATGGAACGAGGGGCAGAAGCATGGTTCAGCACAGGTCCAACAAACGTCCTGTGTCTGGGGGCCAGAGTGGGGAAAGAGAAAGATAGAACATGTTCTCATTAGAGCCTGTAACATCCGTTCAAGTCCACTATTCCATGTGGTGTATAGTCTCCTGATTCCCTTTGCTGTGCCTTCCTGGTTTATTGTGCTTTGCTTCAGAGGAGGGTTCAGATCTGTGGTCTTCAGAGACAGTGAGCTGGAGTTCTTCCATCTGCTTTACCGTCTGTTGCTGAAGCCTGGTTACTAATGGTTTTGTTAAATTGGCCCCTATATTAGGGATTGGGAGAGTCTCATGATCCAAACAGTAGTGACCTGCTGCTCTTACCATATGATGGCCAGTGTGTAATGGTTTGATGGGGAGATGGTCACTTTCAAAAGACTAATACTAGCCTGACTGAAGGGGCAGTTTGCGTAGAGACCACTAGGCATGAAGACGTCTACCTTCAGGTTGGAGTTGCAGCCTGTTGGTAGAATAACATGGGGAAGCCTTGCGCTGTTGCTGATCCTGCTTAGTTATCAAGGTAGTGGATGGGCTCCTTTTAAAAACCCTAGGCCTTGTAGGTAGGACTCCAGGAACCCAGGCTATAAACATGGCACCTTCCAATGCCCGAAGTCCGAAGTGAGTGGACACTTCCTTAGTGATGCTCCTGCTGAAGTGGTTGAGGGGATTCCCCCAAAGCCAACAGCTGATATCTACCCAGTGCACCTCCTGGGGTGAACGCCACTGGGAAATGCGTCAAAGGGCTCACTCCTATCCATGTTAATGGGGTGGGATTACTATGCGGGGGGAAAGTGATGTAAAAAGTGCAACCAAAGCTTTACAATGACAAAAGGCCGCTTGTGCTTGTTTCTTGGCAAAACCTGCTTTTCAGGAGGTGACGGGGTAAAGAGGGGGTATCCACGGTAGTTTGCAAACCCTGCTGTTAAGTCTCCTTTCCCTTCCTCTCTTGCAGTGTGGCCCCAGGAAGAGTACATTGTGGAGTATTCTTTGGAGTACGGGTTTTTACGCCTGTCTCAGAGCACTCGTCAGCGTCTCAGCATCCCAGTCATGGTGGTGACACTAGGTATGTAAGGGACATGATCGGGGCTCATGCGTTAGTTGACAAGACACTTCTAAAATGCCTGCATGTTGTTTGCCAATACCCCAATTTTAGCCATGCCCCCACATACCTACCTTTGCTTCAGTCGCACAGAAACCTTTTATAACAGTGGAGGGGGCCCTCGTTCAGAGAAGGACGGTCTTTACAGGCAGTGTCTTTCCAATAAGATGCCAAGGCATCCGTTACGGAGTCTGAATCTAAGCAGTGAGTTTCAGTATCTGAGGCCTAGCGTTATTTTCGAGAGCAGTTGTCCCTCCCAGGAAGGAATCTCAAGAGACCAAACCTAAACTCTGCCCAATTTGTATTATTTTGTTGCTTTTCCTCCTTTGCTTTAAACTTTAGAGGCTAGAAACAAAATAGCCTGCAGCCCTCAGAGACGTAACGCTTGTGATGCACAACATCAATACCTATTGTCAGGAACGATTATCCCTATCAGAGACAATGTTGAGCATGTCTCCTTAGCACTGGTGTTTATCTCTAATCATCTCTGCATCCTGCATAGTCCCAAGTTAAGAATATAAATATGGGAAATGACCACTCAGAAAAAAACTGGTCTTAAAACCACTCAGACCGACGTACAGTACTGGTGGTGAATTCTCTTGGGTGACCGTTATCCTGTGACAGCGTTCTATTCCACTGATATTCTCTTAATTAACAAGTTTCCAAGGAATAAGTGTAGTCTTATACCGTCTAGTGCCAAAAATCCTAATTAATCAGATGCCAAAATATGTGCGGCAATCAGACTAGATTGATTAGACATAAGTAGTGCAAGCAGTGGTGTGTTCTGCTGTATTAAACAGTGATTACAGGGCAGATAACAAATCGGTCTACGTTAAAGGTAGGTGCTGGTTTTATTTGGTCTGATCTTTCAAATTCCTACATAAGCACCCTCCCTGCCTTACTAAAAATGGCTTGCATTTATATTCCACCTTTCATCTGGATGGATCCCAGCTGCATTGTGAGCAATTACATGTGTATATAGAACTCATTTGAATGTGTGTAGCACTTTCATGTCACTAGATTGACCTAATCAGGCAGCCACCTCTGTGGTGGAATGCTGAAACTTTTGCAACAGTGCCTGGAATGACCTGGGGATGCTGAGTCACTTTGAGTCAACATTTTAAGATCCTTTTGCTTTAATTCTGAATCTCGTTGCAAATAACTGTAACCGTCCATCTCACTGTCCTTACACGTCCTGATTATTTCTGCCACGTGAAGAACTTCAGTCCACATTGGCCGTTCTCATCCCACTGCAAAAGCCAATGTTTCTACAGTACTATGCCTCCTGTCCTGCTAAAAGGCTCAGACAAGGTAGTTCCGTGCTTAGCTGGGGAAAATGCACCACTTCTGCAGGCTTAAGGAGGGAGAATCTAAGCCTGGGAATTGAATTTTGTTTGCCCACATAGCACTACAGAGCATCTGATGGGTCTTGAGGTAAATAGTAACAGGTAGTTTCCTGCTCCGCAGTTTCACCTCTGATTGAACAGAGTGAATCTTCTTTGCTTTTCATGCAGATCCCACCAGGGACCAGTGCTTTGGAGACCGATTTAGTCGCCTGCTGCTGGACGAGTTCCTGGGTTACGATGACATTCTAATGTCCAGTGTGAAAGCTTTAGCTGAAAACGAAGAGAACAAAGGTAAAGGCACCAGGAAACAATTTTGTGGTGGCATATTTGGAGGAGGTGCATGGAGTCTGTGAGTGCATGAATGGTGTGCCCTGGCTGTTGACCATGCCCTAGTACTGAGAACGGTTACCCGGCTCCATGGGGAGATTATCACCAGGCAAGTCAAATGAAATAAGTGTGAGAAGAGAGGATAATGGCCACAAGGAAGATTTTCTCCTGCCTTATGCTGAATAACAACGAAGGATGCACCAATACAGGAAGTTCAGCCTATCGTTTATTGTTTAATCAGACCCGACTCCTCTTTCTTCCAGGTTTCCTCCGCAACGTGGTGTCCGGGGAGCACTATCGCTTTGTTAGCATGTGGATGGCTAGGACTTCGTACCTAGCAGCCTTTGTTATCATGGTCATATTTGTAAGTAAAATGGTTTCAGTGTTGCCTGGATTTCCAGACTAGGGCTTGCCAGGTGCTAGTTAAGACTTAATTTTGGTAACTTTCGTATGTGCCCTACATCTGTATTAACACAAGAGGCCACTGCTACTTTTACTAAATATACTTAAAATCTTCTGCAAATGCAGAATTGACCCAGATGAAACCAATAAGCAAAGGAGGCTGAAATATCATAGATGCCAAACCACTATGGGCAGTGATCCTTCTTCCTTTGATGCAAGACCATGTAAAACCATAATCTAATGGCTGGCGAGAGGAGGTGTTTGAATATCTCTCACATGAAGATAAATCAGTCTTCTGTGATCTTTCTCAGAGACCGTGTGGCCTAGCTGGAGGCGCACAGGACTGGGACAAAGCTGGAACTTTGGTTTCTGGTCTCAACTCTGTTACAGATTTTTGGGCATCACTTAACCTGTCAGAACTAGACTCCTCCTACAGCTAAACTATTTGCCTGTCTCTTTCACAGGGACAGCATGTGGTTTAATTACTGTTTGTAACGTGCCAAAGAAGTGCTACTTAAAACTAAGAGTGAAATGTGCAGTACAATCTTGGGCTTTGTTACGGTGCTAAAAAAAAAAATCCCCGCAAGCCTGCAAATTCTTAGTTAACATAGATTCTAAGGTCAGAAGGGTCTGTTATGATCATCTAATCCAGGGGTCAGCAACCTTTCAGAAGTGCTGTGCCGAGTCTTCATTTATTCACTCTGATTTAAGGTTTCGTGTGCCAGTCATACATTTTAATGTTTTTAGAAGGTCTCTTTCTATACGTCTATAATATAGAACTAAACTATTGTTGTATGTAAAGTAAATAAGGTTTTTAAAATGTTTAAGAAGCCTCCTTTTAAAATTAAATTAAAATGCAGAGCCCCCCGGACTGGTGGCCAGGACTCAGGCAGTGTGAGTGCCACTGAAAATCAGCTCGCGTGCCGCCTTCGGCACACGTGCCATAGGTTGCCTACCCCTGACCTTCTGCATAGCCCAGGCCAAAGAACCTCACCAGTACATGTCACAGTTTGCAGGTTAACTGTGCACCTCTGACCCCTCTTTGGTCTGCTCAAGGGCACCCCTTTACATCTCAACCCTCTAGCCATCACCTCTCTGTGAGCAAAGTACTGCAACTCTCTTCCTCCAGACTGAGGATTTAGCCTTCAATTCCTTCTGCCCTTCGGTGTGCCTATCCCAGCAAATAAGACCTTAGCTCAGCCCCTATAGCTCTGCCCTCTTTCTCGAGGGCTAGGACAGTGAATGCCAGTGACCAAACATAGCATAAAACAATAAACATGCTACACGCGTGCTAGGCTTACTAAGCGTTTCCAGACTCTGGCACGGTTTCCAGTCCTTCGGATCCTCCCATCAGGGTTGTTCCCTCTTGGTTACAATCTCTTGTCAGTTATTGGAGCAAACTGAGAAAATCTGAGTCAGTTCAGCTGAGCCTTTATACTAGAAGCCTTTCTTTGTCTCCTGGGCCTTTGGAACCCAGTCTGAACCAGTATAGGCCAAAATCCCCAGGAGGTGGTTCCTCTTTGGAGTTGGGTCCCTGTCCCAGGGTTTGCTGTAATGGCCCCCCACTGGTGATAGGTATATCTCCATATATTATAACAATCTCATAGAGCTGGAAGGGACCCTGAAAGGTCATCAAGTCCAGCCCCCTGCCTTCACTAGGAGGACCAAGTACTGATTTTTGCCCCAGATCCCTAAGTGGCCCCCTCAAGGATTGAACTCACAACCCTGGGTTTAGCAGGCCAATGCTCAAACCACTGAGCTATCCTTCCCCCGTGGAGCCAGAATATAATTGATGGCTCACAGCGATACAGACACCATTTTAAAACCTTGGTACAGTAGACTCAAAGATATCGCATGTGTCTGTAATATCTGTCTCAGTGCATCCCAAGATGGAGCATCAGCATGAACTCTGTATCCTATTATGACCCTTTATGGGAAAACAACCTTCCCAGGGCAGTCCAGTTCTAATCCTGATCTGTTTTACCTTTTCAGACTCTGTCCGTCTCAATGCTGTTGCGCTACTCTCATCATCAGATCTTTGTTTTCATTGGTAAGTGCTTCTAAATCTCACTCCTACAAACGGTTTCTTTGGGGATAACGCCATGCCCTGGTGAACACCCACTACCTTTGGAGGGCAAGAAAAGAGCTTAGTGTCTTTTGTGGAGTTGAGACAGTCGATTCTTTATCCCATCCATCATCCTCGAGCTGGGAAAACATGGTAACATTTTCCAAAGGTTACTCAAAGCAGAAGCTGACGTGGCTTCACTTTTGCCACTTGGAGTACGCTGCTTAGTGACCAAGGGACAGATTCTGTCCTAGTGTGAACGCAGCTCCAGTGACTTCTAGACGCATTTTCTTCCTGCTTACATCAGATCTGAATTTAGCCTAAATTCTCCAGACAAATATGCTCTTTAAGTTGCCCTTTGTGACCACTTCCCCTCTCATCTGAGGTTGGCTGAATGCAAATTCCACGTTTCAGGACATGACCTAATGCCTCAGGGGTCAAAAAACCACTGTCCCAAAGGTGCAGCCCTGGTGCCTTCTGGGACATTTCATCTTCGGTTGAAGCAGTGGGTATAGGTCATTACCAGCGCAGGATTGGTCAGACCAGTTGCCTGCTCCAGTGTGGGCCTATGTATAATGTGAGCTGTAAGCAGTTAGTAGCCATCCTGTCTCCTGCATGCCCTCCTGCATCTAGTTCTAAAGATGGCTTGTGGCGCGTTACTCTGCTCCAGGAGCTGCTGAGAGCCCTTCACCGTTTGCTTTCCTTCTTGCAGTGGACCTCTTACAGATGCTGGAGATGAACATGACCATTGCATTCCCTGCTGCTCCCTTACTCACTGTCATTTTGGCTCTAGTAGGTAAGAACGTGGATTTACTCCTTACGTAAAAGAAGAACACTGAGCAGCGTAGCAAGTTGCTTCGGGGTGCATTGAACACACAATCCCTCTCTTGTACCTTACGTCACTGAGGGGTTAATGTTCTCACTCCCTGCAGAGATGTAATGTCATGGAACTTGGTGTGACCTTCTTGTCAGATGTTTTTGTCCTAGTCTCCAGTAGAAATGTACCCACACTCGGGTTAGGGCTAGTCAGGATTAGTGAGTCTCAGAGCTGTGCATTGGGGGTGGAGGTAATCTACATTGTGAGTGTACATTATGTATAGCTTTGATCCACTTCTCCGTCTCTCGCTTTCCTGACCTATGTCCTACACCCACAAAACTTCATTTAAAAACAATAAATCCTGTGCTGCAGCTAACACTATAGGTGAAGATTCCAGTCAGCAAAGAAATCTTTGTGCTTTACCGCATCTCCTGTTAGAAACCAGCTCCATTGTGCCTGGTTGCATTTGCTTTGCAATCCAGCAAATGCACCGTAGCACCAGTTGCTAGATAGTGTTTATTCCGGGTGCACCCTGAGTACTGGAGAATGGCTAACTGGGATTACCCATTGACCAGGCCCCATAGCTAGTTGACGTGTCGGTGTTTTTTGTCCGGCAGGCATGGAAGCCATTATGTCAGAGTTCTTCAATGACACCACCACTGCGTTTTATATCATCCTCATCGTGTGGCTGGCGGACCAGTATGATGCCATCTGTTGCCACACCAATACTAGTAAGAGGCATTGGCTCAGGTAAGAGAGTTGCCCATTCTCCTTCTAGCCATGTGCACTTCCATCACCTAGCCATGTGCACTTCCATCACCTAGCCATGTGCTTCAGACCCATATTGCATGCTGCTTTATTCTGCGATGCGAAGCTTCTTTAAAATTTTCATCCAGCGGTGCTGGGTTGGCTTCCATTTCGGATAGCCACTGTTTTCCCTTCTTGGCCCCCGATGTTCCTGCATCTGAAGCCCACATTCAGGAGGCAAGTTGGCTCTTTCCTGTGTAACTATTAGGAAGTCCCCCTTTAAAACTGATTCAAACATTTGCCCACTTGTCGGTCCTGCTCTGTATTTAGATGAACACTGATGTCCGCTGCGAAAGTCGAGAATACCCATTAGTCAAGGTCTCACAGCTGCTCAGTGGGAAACCCCCTCTCCAGGCTGGGGTGGGTGGGTTCTCTCTGTGGTTACGTCCTGTTCCTTATTGTCCCTTCTCTTTCCAGGTTCTTCTACTTGTACCACTTTGCCTTCTATGCATACCACTACCGATTTAATGGGCAGTACAGCAGTCTGGCTCTGGTCACCTCATGGCTTTTCATCCAGGTAAGCAGTGGCCTTCTTTTGCCGCTCATTAGGTAGAGAGCGGGTTATATGAGACAGATCTATGTCTTAGTGCTAATTCTCCCCGTGGTCACTTCATTAACCTTATGAGTGAGCTGGATAGAAATCTAGGGCTTAAAATATCAAGTCAGAAACTGATCAGGCCACTTGAATGGCTATGCATGGATGGACACAGACTAGAGTAAATTACCCCTGAGTCACTGACAGCCACAATGTAGACTCTGTAAAAGCTGTTACAAAGTTGGTTTTGAACAGAAATCTTCACTTAACCAAGAGATCTGTGCACTCTCTGGGAACATGAGGATAGAGGGTGGATGAAACTGCCAAATCCCTTAAGATACAGGGCCTTAGACTTCTAGGTCATGGGCTCAAATCCATCTGTGGCCATTAGGGACTTAAAATTGGACCCATAAAATGATTGAGGGTTAATGGCAAGTGAGTTTTGGGGAGGTAGTGGGGTCTCAGTCAAATTCCCACTGGATAGCTGTCCAGATAACATAAGGCACCTTCCTAAATGATCTCTTTGTGAGGGTTGTGACTCGGGGGCCAGGGACTGACTGGGCGTAGGCAGAACTCTTCATGCAGGTGATGCCTGAATGGTATTGAGATGCTTTAACTGCTGCTGCCGGATGTCCCTGCTCTGTGGCTAGAGGACTTGAGTGTCTCTGGCTGATGACCTGACACCTTGCCCCAGCTGTAAGCCTGCAGTCAGCTGGCCATAGAAACTCCAGATATTCCTGGCTGCTGCCTTCCTCCCCATCCCTCCTCAAGAGGCTTGGATTCTGTGATCCCCTGGTTGGTTGCAGGGCTTTTGTGGCCCCACTAAGCTGCTGGAGAGGCCTCTAGGTACCACAGTGGAAAATCCTTCCCAAAATGTCTCGGTTTGATGCTAAATCCTGAACGTTTCCGGTTCCAGTATGAGTCAGAGCAGCCTAGCCGCTCCCCTGCTCTCGTGATGACAACAGTTAAGGGAACCAAGCCACAGGCTTTTTACAGGGCTGCAGCAAAAACCTCTTTGGCAGATCTTGGCCAACAAGTAACTCGTTTCCCTTTGCGTTCCCTAGCACTCCATGATCTATTTCTTCCATCATTATGAGCTGCCGGCCATCCTCCAGCAGATCAGAATCCAAGAGATGCTGCTGCAGAACCAGCAGGTGGGTCAAGGGACCCAAACAACGCTGCAGGACAACCTCAACAACAACACTACAGCCGCCCCCACCGACATGGGCGGCAGGCGGCCCCATCCGGCAGCCGGTCCTGCCGCAGAAAGCAGCGGCCCCAGTTCTCTGGCTCCCGGCGAGGATCCCAGCGCCGTTGCCATTGCAGCTGCTACAGCCTCTTCCGTAGGGAGTGATCTGAACTGGGTAGCTGAAACTGCCGCCATCATTACCGAAGCCTCGTTTCTGTCTGACCTGAGCACTACCCTCTTGGAGCCAAACGTGGTGCACGAAGCCATGGCCAATGGGAGCCCACAGGATGCTGCGGTCGCTGCTGCTTCAAGCTTGGTAGCCCGAATTCGAGTCAGTAGCGACCACGTGGAGACTGCTATGGGCTCCATTACTATTGAGGTCTCTTCAACAGCAGTGGTTACTGCAACAGACGCGCCCCCGGGTGCAGAAGAGACACCAGCTACCCCCCTTGCCAGTGCCCCCCTTGTCCCAGCACAGGAGGATGGTGCGTCTGTCCCCAGTCCTTCCCTTCCCGAGCAGACTGAGGCTGCAGGGGAGTCATTGAGCCAAGCAGAACCTAGCGGAAAGGACTGTGTTGCAAACAGTAACCTGGCAGAGACCCCTCAGCCCCTCACGCAAGATACTGATCTGGGCAAGCATTTGGATAGTGCTTTTGGGGACCATGGGGAGACTGCCCCCTGCCCAACAGCAGTGGACAGTACAGCCTGCTCCGAAGCTCGCTCGGAACCAGAGTCCAGGAGCCTGTCCTGAGCTTGTTCTCTCTCTCCTTGTTCTCTGGCAGTCCAGAAGGAATCTGGATTTCTTGTTTCTCCCCCATGCCTCCCCCATAATTCCTTTTAGTGGAGGCAAAGCGGCTGGAGCACAGAATAGAGGCAGTACATTTCTCCCCTGGACAGTAAATGTGTATGTGTGACTAGCCATGAATCCCCAGCCTCCCTCTGCAACTAGACCTGCAGAGAGAGGTTCTCCACCGCGGGCGAGCTGCTGGGGCCCCACGTTTTTCTTAAGCCATTGGCAGACAACAGGGCTGTAGGATTGGTGCACTCGGGCTAGTCAGCGTCACACTTCTGTGGTCCCCCCCCTTCTTCCTCTCCCACCCCTCCTGCGTTGCTCTTACAAGGAAGGGCTTCCAGTTGTGCCGGCTGGATCAGCTGCTGGGGACTGAGTTGTTAGCCCTACTTGCCTTTGCAAGTGTGACCCAAATTGTACTAAACAATTTTTTTGTTTTAACCAAAAAAAAAAAAATCTTAGTGTGATGAGTTGCATCTAATGTGGTGTATTCCTGGAAAGACAGGCGGGAAAGCTCATCCACTGAAATGGAAATGAACCTCAGGGGCTGTCAGAAACCACTTGCTGGAGCTAAGAGTCATTTCCTTTCATCATGGGAGCTTCGGGGGATGCTGCTTGACATCTTCACTCTGACAGTTTGGTAGCATCTAGCTGATTGTCTGCAGCTGAATCTCCCTGTTCTCAACTCTTGTTCCTCACCAGCCATGTGGGCCTTGACTGTATAGGGGTTTTTTCTGGCTACGTAGCAAAGGAGTAAAGTTGGCGGTTGCAAAGACAAATGATATATATATATATAGCTCTATCTATTTTTAGAAAGATGCAGAGGTTTTAAAGGGCGAGAGACAAGTCTGTGTTAATGGGGGGAGAAGATACGGGTGGCAGTTTCCTGGCGTTCCTATCTTTTAGAACTGCAGTTTGTGTAACAGAAGTTTGTGTAACAGAATGTGTGTGGGGCGGGGGTGTTCAGGTCTCCTTTGGAGATCCACAGAAGGCAGCAGAGGGAATCGGCAAGCTTGGCCTTCCGCTAGGGAAAGTGCATCTTAAGCCCTGTGCGCTTTTACCAGATAACATTGCAGTAGAGAAGCTGGGAAATAGGGCTTCGATTAGCTGTAGTTAAGCATCTTTCTGCTGCCCTCTCCCCGCTGACCTCTTACCAGTGGCCACCCTGTCCTGGGAGAGGTGAAACATGAGGCTGTTTTCCTGTGCTAACAGATCTCCGAGAGCCAGTCAGTGCTGTCTGAGCTGATAGGGTCATACCGCTTCCCCGGCAGGTGGCAGGGGTGTGCTTGGAACCATCTAGGCTGATTCTGGGACGGATCCCCATGGCTATCCTCCCTTTTCCATTCCCGCTGCACCCCCGAAAGGAGAGCAGCTCTTCTTGCTGCCACATGGCCTCCGGCAGGGGCTCTCTGAATCCAGCACCTTAAATGCATAGCACATAGACTGAGTAAGCTAGAGCCAGGGGCTGTGGCCTGAAAACATTCGTTAGAAACTGAACTATAGCTTCATAATTCACAGAAGAGCCTTTAGGGACGCATGTGTGTAGCCCGGTAGCTCCACTCTTTGCTTTGGTGGCTTAGTTTGTTTTTTCAGTGCCTTGTCCCATGCGTGGGACACCTTCACATCCTAAGATTGGGCCCTTCCATGAGTCGAGAAACTCCCTTGGCACAGGGCCAGAAGGGGAGACTGCAGGTAGAAAACTGTTACTCACGATGGCTCAGTAGAAAAGCAAAGGGCCCGAACAGTGAAGCCAAGAAGAAATTTAGATAAACCCTCCCTCTCCTCCCTGGCAAAAAGGAAGCCTGGAGCACTGTCCTGCTGAAAGGAGAGGCAAAGCTGGCTGTGAGATTAGTGTCTCACCCTGGTAGACTGTAGTTTGCCCAAGGGCTATCTGGCTCTATATCTTTTTACTAACTAGTTGTAGTGGGTGACATCTGGTACCCAAGTTAGAGAGGCTGCATTAGAAACCATCCTGTTATCGGCAGCAGAGTTTTCTAGTTCACTCAGCCTGCACGGGTATGCCCATCCTGGGAGCTGCTTCCTTTGGAGAAGGGTTTGTGGTAGGTGATGTGCGGTTCCCCCCCAGCAAGGCTCTGAGAGGGGAGATAAACTCAGGAAAAGGGAGCGTATGTGGTGGAAAAGGGAAGTGCCATGGGGGAGGGTGGGGCTTAGCCCCCCTTGATTAGAGGGGCACTGGAAGGCATGTCTCCGGGGGGGTGGTGCCCAAGCTGTGGAATTGTCCTGGGGCTCCATCCTTGTCTACATGAGCTAAGCAGCCCGTAGGTGCAGCCGGTGTTTCCTTCCCAGGAATGAGGCCCTCAGGCATTTCCACTGCTTACCGCATGGGGGAGGCGCTGCTGGGTGGGGAAGTGGGGTGTGATCGAAGGCTTTGCCATGGCAGTGGCTGCCCAGCGCAGAGGGGTTCCCGACAGTATCTTCGCCTTTCCTCCCCAGAAACCTTTTCTAGGGAGTACCTGCTGCTGCTGGAGGTGGAGAGCGCGTGCCAGGGCCCGATACATTGGTGGACCCCTCTCACTACACCCAACCTCCCCAGGAGCGAGATGGGGTCCAGCCAACATCTCCCCCCTCAATTATCTGATGCTGCTTCTAGGCAGGTTGTAAAGGTCACAGAGCACAAGGCAGCAGAAACAGCTGTAGGATTTGGGGGGGGGGGGAATGAACCAAATCATTTGCTGAATGAAGGGTAGAGTTCATTCTATTTAATTAATGTACAAAATGTGTTTGTATATAATAAATATTATCTCTAACAGCTTCAGTGGTGCTGCTTTGCTAACGCTTCGTGCTGGGGTCCTGGGCAGGCTCGACCTGTGTGGCTCTGGTCTTCAGTCTGGGCAGTATCCCCTACACTTAGCGCCTAGGTCTGAGACTGTCTTAGGATCTGAGCACCTCCCCACCCTGGAGGTAGGGCACAAAGTCTCTTTGTTACAGAGGGGGAGCTGAGACACCCATTAAGTGACTTGCCCAAGGAGTCTGTGGGGGAGCAGGGAATTGCCCAGGGTCTTCCAGGCCAACCCCGCCCCCCAAATAACACTGGAGGGATAGAAGAGCACCCAGCCTCTGGCTGGAGGCTCATTGCACAGCCCTATGGAGAAGCTGCTGCGAGGACTTGGCAGCCTAAATACTTTTGAGGGTCTGGACCTGAGCCCCCAGGGTTTCCATCTCTGATTTACTGACCTCCCTTTAAAAAATACTTTTTCTGATCAGACTTCAAAGGGCTGGACAGCACCCTTTGGACCTTTAATGCTGCAGGGCTCATGGTCAGCCCCCCTCTTATGTATATGGACTGCTGCATTCTCATCCCTACATCTCTGATCTTCCATCACATCAGAGCTGAGACAAGCCAGGACTTTCCTGCTGCCTGAAACGAAGAGATTGTCTTAACCAGAACCATCTTTCGTGCTTGCTCATTGCTGGCAAGGGAGTCCTGCGGTGACGGAAGAGAAGTTACCCTCTCCATAAAACCCTTTTGCTGCTGGGATGAAGGTGGAAGGAGATTTTCCCCCACCCCCAGCTTTACTCAGAAATACAGTTTTGTGATTAAATTCCCTGTAGCTCTGTCAACTTAAATTCTGCAATTTTGTGCCTTGGGAGAGGATCCTGGCTAAAGCGAATCTTAATTCACTAAATAAAATCCTAATCCCAGGCTGACCGTTGCATTCAAAAAACAGCTCCGAGTGAAGGAGAGATCGGGAGAGAAACTCATGCTGGTGCAGGAACTGGACAGAGGTTCTTTCCAAAAACTTGGGGGCTGGAGGAGCTAGTGAGCAGATTCCCGAGTCAATCTGCATTTTCACCCCCTTCCCCCACACACACTTTAACCACCTGCAGAATCTGAAGGGGGTGGGTGGGAGGAGAAGTCTGCATTACTTTTATTCTAGTTAAAATCTTGAACTTTGTACATTTTATTTACAGTTAATGTTACAGCTGCTGCTAGCGAAAGGAAACACTTAGAATTTGCATCACCTAAATCCCTGGACAATTGTCACCCTCAGATGTTGTAGGGGAAAGTTTGAGTAGGTCTCTGTTCCGTGCCTCACACCCACCCTGGGGAGAGAAGGGATCCTAAACTGGGCACAAACTTTCCTAGCCTGAGACACCGGTTCTTAGTTCCTCATTGGATTCCATCTAGTTTCCCCAAACAGCTGTTTTAAAGAGGGAAGAATTCTTCACTCCGAGGCAGTGGGGAAAGAACTAAACCTGAACTTCCTCCTTGAGAAAAGCCAGTCCTGTCCTCACACCTGCAGTAATCAATATGTAACTGAAATCGTTTGTAAGTGAGATTCTCCTTTCCAGACCTGGCAGGAGCCTGATGTGGGAATCTCGAAGTTTGCCACGACCAAAGGACAGCAGCAGAATGGGAATTGGGTCTTAACTGCGATACGAAGGAATTAATATAAAACAAAACAGTTGGGCCCTGACCCACCTGGAGAGCGTTTCCTGTTTGCTGTGATCTGTGCTAAAGTAACAGCCCCCTTCCTAGGCAGCTCCGCCACTTCCCCAACCAGGAGCCTCTGCACGTGCTCTCCAGGCTCTGGTTTGATTTAAGACGTGAAAGGAAACAGCAGCTGGTTTTCCAAGGTTGAGTTCAAAAGGAACCTGAACGGCCCGTGTCCCATTACCTGTCCTCGTTCTTCTCCACAATAGGCTTAACAGGCAGCATGCGGATGTTCTTGGTGGGCCCCAACGCCACCACCAGCTCGCTCTTCCGCACCAGGGCCGCTCTCAGCTGATCCCTGATTGCCTGGATCCGTCCCTCCAGCTCCCTGAGCTCCTTCTCACTAGCATCCCACTCCTCCGGCTGGGGCACCCTGCCATTTGTGCAGTGCCACACGGGCACCTCCCTCTCCTGTGCCGGCTCAGAGGGCGTCTGCTCCATGTTGAAATGCACCCGCTTGTCCTCTTTCCTGGTGGCCTTCCTGAGGTTGTTCCAGCTTGGCTGGCTGGCATTTGGGGCTGGTGCCTCTTCGCTCTTCTGAATATTGCACCTTCAGAGTGAAACAGGCAGAGGGTGAGTCGAGCCTTCAGGGCCGAGTCTACCATCCCAGCTGACTAGATAGCTCCCCCCCCTCATTGTCTGTGCCCTTCCTGAGAGAGAGGGTGGCAACAGCTGGTCAAAGCAGGGTCCTCCCCCTAGAAGGGTTGGGTGATCCTCATCTCTCCAAGCTGGACACTTACACCCAAGACTATTTGCTGGTGGCCATCAAGGTTCCAGGGCGGGGCACCCTTCTTCCATCCAGCTACCCTAACACCAATGGGAAGGCAGGGGGTGTTGGACCATTAGCCACCTGTTTGCACTGCTGCTTAGGGGCAAGAGCCCTCTGCTCTAAGCTACTGCTGCAGCTGGACAGCAGGAGCTGCCGAACCTGCGGTGAAGGCTCAGGCCGGCGGCGGAGGTGGAACGGGGCTTTGCCCCGTTAGTACCTTTTCTCAAGTCTCAGCTTTTGGTTTTTCTGCTCCTCGAAGCCCACGTTCAGCGCCCGGTGGATTTTCTGTGAAGTGCAAAGGCGGAGAGGAATCAGACCCCCAGGGAAAGGGCTGGGGGGATGTTAGGACAGGGCTCTGCCTTTTCAGGGTTACTTGAACTTTGATTCAGTGCCTCGGAGAGTGGCTTTCCGGGGCTCCTGCAGAAGGGAGAATTACGGGCTGGGGGGGTGGGGTGGGGGAGGAGTCCCAACAGCTGCTGGGTGTAGGCAGCGGGGAAGAGGACAGTGTGCGACCGGGCCAGGGGCAGAGGAGGGGAATCTTTAGGGCAATATCTATGCCAGAAGATGCCCTGTAGGGGCTTTGTCTGGGCCCCATGTTATGGGTGGCAGTGCTGTGTCCCACCCAGGCAAGGCTGGAGAAAAGAAAGCTGCCCAGGGGCGTTCCGGGCCATGAGTGGGGCTTGTAGGTCCTACACTAATACAAATAATTACTAGCAATAAATACTCAGACCCCAGCACCACTGCTCTTGGGCCAGCTAGGGAAGGGGCACCCTGAAGCACGGGGCTGGTGGGGACCACGAGGCCCTGCCCAGACAGCTGCCAAACCCAGCCCAGCGGGGGGCAGGCCGTTTAAGGAAAGCGGGGCTGGGGTCCAGCTGCTCTCACCTGGCTGGTGTGCAGCCAGTAGTTGAATTTCTTCTTCCTCTTGATGCGGGGCAGGATGAGGCGGTAGAAGACGTGCTCACCCAGGGAGGTGAGCAAGGAGCCGCAGAGCCCGACACACAGCAGCACGAAGAGCCCGGAGAAGTGATAGATGCCCATCTGCAGCGTCTGGAAGGGAAAGGGGGCGGGGGGAGGATTAGCCTAGGCTGAGGAGTGGGTCAGTGCCCCCTCCGCCTGCCACACAAGGCTCCAGTGGCAGCCTGGGCCCCACCACGTCTCCTCCCCGCAGAGCCCACCGGGCCGCCCTCACCTCGGTGACGGCCAAGACCCGCTTGCCGCAGGGCACCATCTTGTACCATTTGTCGTGCAGCAGGTCCATGAAGCCGGCCGACTTGTAGCGGCTGATGAACTCGGAGAGGTTGGAGGTCAGGGGCGAGTTCTGGGGGAGCCCGATTCCATAGCCTAGCGGGGGGAGAGAGAGAAGTACCATCCCGGGCGTGGACATCACGTCCTTTCCTGTCGCCTTTGTGGCTCTTCCCACCCTGCCTAGAGGATGCTCTTCAGGGCAGTGAGCGTACAGCACCGAGCGCAGCAGGGCTCTGATCTCATCCGGGCCGCAAGGTGCTACCACAATACAAATAATCAGGGCCGGTGCTACCATTAAGGCAAACTAGGCTGTTGCCTAGGGTGCCAAGATTTGGGGGTGCCAAAAAGCGGTGCCCCCAATTTTTTTTTTTACAGCGTTCCTACACCCCCTCCCCAAGCACGCAGTCACCGCTCCACTTCTCCCGCCTCCCAGGCTTGCGGCGCCGCAAGCCTGGGAGGGAAGGAGAATTAGAGGGGGGGCAGCGTGCTCGGGGAGGAGGCGGAGCAGAGGTGAACTGGGGTGGGGAGCTGGGGTGGGGGGGGGCGCGAAACTTCCTTGCACCGGCCCTGCAAATAATGAATAAAAGCCCTGGGCTCCTGCCCCCTCTAGCCCCGTCACTGCAGCAGCCGAGCCTCAATGGGGTGACAAGCCCTCCTGAAAGCTGGAGGAACTTGGGCAAGGTAACAGAGCTGGCCTATGAACCTGGACTGCCCGGGCCCGGCTGACTGGGGGGTTTTCTCAGGGCTCTAAAGCCACACCGTGCCCCTTGGTCTGCCAAGTGCCTGCAGCTACACAGCCCAGTGTGGTTTAGTGCGGGGGGGGGAGGCTGCTCCCCCCTATGCCCTGCACATCTGAGGTAAGTTGTTCTCATCATAAGACAGGTTGGCCCCATTGCCATAAATCCGTCTGGTCTCCCCAGGAGAAAAACCCATGAGCTTTGCTCCTAGTGGTGTGGCCATTGCTAGCTGTCGTGGGCCCTGTGACACGCAGCAGCCTGCCTTGCCTTGCCGGGCCCGCTGGCTCATTCCCCGCGGACGGGGCTGCCTTCGCTTCCCTGTTTCCCTTTCTAGTCACAGCTCGGCAGGCGAGAGCGCGGGGGCTTCATTTAACTTCCCTCTCGGCTCCGGGGCAGCAGCCTGGTTAATGAGGGGAGATCAGCCCGCAGCCCTGCTGCACAGGGACGAGAGGCGGAGGCTGTGTGGGAGATTAGAGGAGGTGGAAGGGATCGGGGTAGGGAGAAAAGAGGGCAAGCAGCACCTGGAGGCTTTGCTCACCCTTAGCCAAACCAGGATCATGGTAGGCCAAACCCTCATGCTCCAGGGCACAGGCTCACTGTCCAGGGCAGGGTCAGGAAGGACGATGAACATCCTAGGAGACCAGGCCAGATGGGCTACTGCGGTCTCCAGCTGTTGCGTAGCTAGCACACAGCTGGACCCAGGTGAGGGGCTGCACCACACCAGGGCTCCTCTGCTTTGCTAGTCCCTTGCTCTGGATGCGCGCCCCGCGGAGAGCCTGGTGAATCGCGACACGGACCCACCGCTGCTGCAAGCAGAGCCTGTCTGCGCTGCGGGTCCCTGGGGCACGTAGGCTGTGGACTCACCAGGGAGCGAAGCTCAGGCTGCGGGGGCGATGGGGGCGTCTCTCTGAATGAGACAATGGCTTTGTGCGGCTTATGCAGGGGAGCACTCACTGCTGGCTGGAAGGCACTGGAAGCTACAGCCCCTCGGCCTGGGGTCCGTGTCATTTTAGATCTGCGCTGGGTAGTGAGGCGGATCCGGCCACTGGACTAAGGAGCCTTTCCCCTGTAGGTCCCCAGTTTAGCTCCAGCTGTGACCAAAGTTCAGGAGCTGTCTGCGGTGGGGGGGGCCCATAAGCAAAGTGAATCTAGCAGCAGGCAACACCCACTGCCCTAGGGGGCAGCCGGAGCAGAGACCCGCCAAGCTGAGCCATTTTAACACAGATCAACACTGCACTAAAGCCACCCGTCGCCTACCGCTGCGCCCCAGTCCCACGCAAGCGATGCCCCTTCTCCCGGGGCAGGGCACCGGTGCCTTCAGCAGCTCGGGCCGTGGGCCAAGGGGAACCGGCCCCAGGCAGCAGCTCACCTTCGATAGCAAACGGCTTCCCCACGGTGAGGAGCTTGCAGTCCGAGTCGATGGTGACCTCGTAATCCAGAAGGGACTTGTCCATGATGAACGCGTTGAGCGTGGGGGGCTCGGTCCTGGCAAAGGGAGCACAGGGGAGAGGCTGATTGGCTGGATTCGCCCTCCCCGGCCCCAAGAAGTGGCTGGCGGGTTAAGGGGTAAATAGCCACCGATTACAAAAGAGGATAGTGCAGGAGCGCTGGCTGTGGGGGGAGTGCCCGCCTACACCAGCCCAGCCTCTTCCAGCAGGGGGCGCTGTGGGGAGCGGGGCAGGAGCACTGGCTGTGGGGGCACCTCCCGCCTACTCCAGCCCAGCCTCTTCCAGCAGGGGGCGCTGTGGGGAGTGGGGCAGGAGCACTGGCTGTGGGGGCACCTCCCGCCTACTCCAGCCCAGCCTCT